GCCCTGGCCTACTCTCTAAGGAATTACGCTCCATCGGATCCGACGATTGCCAGATGGCTGACGTACATCTGGATGTTCAATTTCGAATTAGAACGGATTTCTGGTAGTAAGAACCGGGCAGACGGGTTGAGTCGGATCAACTGCGATAAGCAGGAAGGGGAGGCGGTGGAGAATACGCCCCCAGTTGATGGATTTCTGAATCAGGAAGAAGATATTCGTCTCCATATCAATAAGCGGTCGCCGCGAGTGTCCAGCTGTGTAGGCTATCCTATTTGGCAAGCGCCGAGCGGATATGAAAGGAGGACCGAGCTGGTCCTCAAACCCTTTTAAAGAAGGATGTTCAGTGGATGATGGAATTAGCACTGGCCAGCTCGCATAGCCTGGTGGAGGATATAAGGACGATTGAGGAAGGACCTGGCCAGGTAGAACGGCATGAGGACCTGATGGGAGGAATGTATCTCCTCGTCAATACATTATTGCAGGAAAGCCTAGACCAGTCAGGCTCGTTGAACCCGGCAGGGAATGTGGACGAAATACCCGAGAGCCAGGACGACGAGTTCGAAGAAGGGAAAATTAAGGAAGTTTTTCGTGCAGAGGAGTACGACGGGATCTACCTAGAGCTGGGGCTTCTTCTGTCATGTGAAATGCGGCTAAGAGATACGAGCGATAGGGCTCAAAGGATGCTGCAGCGCTACTTAGTGCGAGACGGTCACCTTTTCGTGAGAAGGGAAGTGGGGAATCCCAGGAGAGTCGTCTGCGGTAGGAATCGTCAGATCGACGTCGTAGCAGCGCTTCACGATGGTATTGCAGGAGGACATCGAGGGGTACAAGCCACGAATTCCAAGATAAGTGAGTTGTACTACTGGGATGGGATGATGGATATGGTCGGAAAGTTCTGCCGATCTTGTTTACCTTGCCAGGAAAGATCCTGTTTGAGGCAAGGAGAGTCGCTGCATCCCAGGCTAGAGCGAGAGGTGGGGGCTGTAGTGCATCTCGATCTACTTTTTATGCCACTTGGGGATCAAGGCTATAACTATATCTTCGATGCGCGCGATAACCTGTCTGGGTTCGTAGACGGGCGTGCTATTCGCACAAAGACCGGGTCAGTCTTGGTGAGCTGCATCGAGGAATACTACCTGCGTTATCCTTTCGCCAGGGAATTCGTAATGGACAGGGGATCAGAATTTACCTGCAAGGAGGTGCAAGAACTGTTATCAAGGTATGGTGTGGCAGCCAACTACACCACGGCCGCGCACCCCCAGGCAAATGCTCCCGTAGAGAGAGGACATAGTACCATTACGAA